CCGAGTGCGGTGGTGCTTCTCTGTAAACTCCAGAGGTGTAAGTAAAAAGATCACAGTCCATGGCCAGTTCCAGGCAGATGTGTGAGACCCTTGTCTGAAAAATAACTCTAGCGCAACAGTACCACCACCAACACCTAAACAAAAACTACCACCCAGATCATCATGGTCACTGAGCCTTCCCCCCCGACCTCTACCCCTAATTTACTACCCCGTGCTCACCTTTTGAGGGGAGCTGAGGGGGACCTGGGTCTTCCCCTGGACGCTCACGGTCACGTTTCCAGGAACTACGATGGGGTCCGGTTCCAGCGTGAGGCTCTGAATCACTGCAGGGTCCTTTCCTTCGTCACAATTGTCCCACGAAAAGCTGCCTAGCTTGGAGAGCTAGAAGGTCGGGAAAAAGGAGGAGAGACGTTGACCAACGAGGATCATCTCAGAAAGAAATGAGCTGAAAACAAAGCTACACAGAGAGTGTCCAGGCCCTGAGTTCAAGCTCAACCACTTGAACCACAGCACCACTTCCGGCTTGTGGGTGGTTCACTGGAGATAATCCGATCTCAGCTTCCTGAGATTACAGGCGTGAGCCACCACACCCGGGCCTGCATCTTAAGCGGAGGTATTCACTCATACCTTCCCTTCAGAGTTGCTGCCAGGGTGGTAAGCGTGCACATTAATGCTCATGACACTGTCCTACAGACAAAACATGAGCTGGCCCAGTAAATCACAGCCACGAGGCATGCCACCTCTGCTTCCTGCCATTCGTTCCAGAAGATTCTTTATATACCTGGCAGACCTTCCCTGTCCTGGAGCTTCCTGAAATGGGTCTCCACTCCAAGGAATGAAAGGTCATGTTAATGACTAAGGAAGACAGGCCCCGGGTAGGTTACCAACCAAGGTTTCCTACAGTGTTCACTCCACAAATATTTATGAAGCAATGATTGTTGGCCCTAGGCTCCTAGATATAAACAATGGGATTGGGTCCCTGCCCCACCTAGAGGGGTTTTCTGTCTACTGTAAATAAATCAGAGGCTTAGAGGAAATGAATTAGAAGCTAGGGAAGTGGCTCATCCAGCGGACTCCCTGGGTGAATGCAGAAAGCATATGCAAAGGTCCTGAGGCAGAAGGCTGAGGTGGCCAATAGGCTAGATATGCTGTATGAGGGATGGAAGGGTGGCTGGGGCATTTAATACCTGATGTCACTGGTGATGATAACCAGGAGGTTGAATTGCCTGTGGGGTAATGGAATACCATGGAAAGAAAGCGTTTTACTCTGCTTTATGGTTTTGGGTGGACGGGAAGGAGGCAAAGTCTGGATCTAGGGGCCGCACATCACAGTAAATGAATGACTGGAAGCCAGGCACTGGTGGCTCACACCTGTAATCCTAGCTATTCGAGAAGCTGAGATCTGAGGATCGAGGTTCCAAGCCAGCCCAGGGCAGGAAAGTTGCTGAGACTCTTATCTCCAATGAACCACTAGAAAACCAGACGTGGCGCTTTGGCTCAAAGTGGTAGCACACTAGCCTTGAGCAAAAAAAAAGCTCAGAGATAGTTCCCAGACCCTGAGTTCAAACCCCATGACCGACCAAAAACAAAAACAAAAACCACTGGAGAAGAATTGGATACCACTGTCGACCTCACTACTCAAGAAGCTAAGTTCTGAAGATCACAGTTCAAAGCCAGCCCGGGCAGACAGATCTGATCATCTCCAACTAATCCGCAAAAGGTCGGAAGGGATTAAACACAGCCTGAGATCGAGCACAAGCACCAGCACAGAGAGCTGAGCTGAAGGTGTAAGGTAAGAGAACTTCTCCCAATTCTAAAGCACCCTGATTCACACTGTAGGGTTGACTCTGGGCTCAGGGAAGTTTCTAGAATACACTTCATTGGTTTCCCACTGCTGGGGGTACCAGGCCTGGCACAAAGTATTAGCCAATCCTGCAAAGGGCAAAGGCCTCAGGAAACAGAGACTCGGGTACAAATCATAGGCCTGGGTTAAAAATCCTACCACATCTGAGACTGCAAATACCTTACCCCCCTCCCATTTCCTCACCCATGAAAGGGGTGTAATTACATGTGTGGAAGGGCTAGCCCGAGGGTATGAAGTTTGCTGGTAGAAAGCCCAAGGTTTACACCTGTAATCCTAGCTACTCAGGACGCTGAGACTTGAGGATCGCAATTCAAGGCCAGCCTGGGCAGGAGAAAAGTCTGTGAGACTCTTTATCTCCAATGAACCAAAGTGGTCCCTTCAGCTATAGGCCTGAAACTGAAAGAAGACATTAATGGGGAACTCATGGGGCTTGAACTCAGGGCCTGGGTATGTGTGCTGAGTTTCTTTTTTGCTCAAGGCTAATGTTCTTCTACTTGAGCCTTAGTGACACTTCCATCTTTTGTTTTTGTTTTTTGGGGGGATAGGGTGTAGTTAAGAGAGGGTGTAGTTGGAGTAAGTCTCTCGGATTTTCCTGCCCCAGGCTGGCTTCAAACCCGGATCCTCAGATCTCCGCCCCATGAGTAGCTAGGATGACAGTAAGTCACCTGCATCCAGCTGATTTCATAGTTTTAACAAATATACATCAATCAAACCAGACACTAATGTAGGCAACTCGGTGAGGAACCAGACTTCCAAGAGGAACTCCATCTTGGTAGCTTTGCTGCACATCTAAAATGATTACAAAATTAAAAGCTTACTTTAAAAGAAACAAAGCCAGTGACTCAAACCTACAGTCCTAGCTACTCAAACTGAGATCTGAAAATGGAAGTTAGAAACCAGCGTGGTCAGAAGAACCGTTAGGACTTCTATCTCCAATTAACCACCAAAAAGTGGAAGTGGTGGCTAAGTGATAGAGGTCACCTTTGAGCGAAAGAGCTAAGGGACAGTGTCCAGACCTTGAAACCAAGCCCCAGGACCAGCACACAAACAGAAACAAACAAAACTGCACAAGATCTAAGCACCTACTTTGCATACTGCAAAGATCTAAGCACCTACTACAACCACTACCTAGCTATCTACTACTCTACCCAGCGGCCCAGCGGTCTAACATCTGGCCCAGCTCAGTCACGGAAGAGGAAGTGAAATTCAGTGAAGCTAAAACATTCGCTCACCCCACTACCTCCCCTACTTCCCCACCCCACCCTCAACCCTGCAGGACAGAAGATAACAGATAAAGATCAGCCTTGGGCTGGGGTGAAAGCTGAAGGACTAGCCCCGAGATCTTGGATAAGATGGAAGGACTCTGCTGTCTCAGGCCTTCCAATCTGGGAAGGCTGCAGTAGCCAAGGCATGCAGGCCACCCAAGAGACAAGAACAGAACACACACACACACACACACACACACACACACACACGGACAAGGGGCTTTGCCTGTGGCAAATGAGGCCAAAAGGTCTACACTCCAACAATTCAACGGACCAAACAGGTTTCCCACCCCCTTGTTGGTGGAGGGGGAGAGGGAGGGCGGGCAAGTGAGGTCAAAGCCATAGGCTGACATCACTGATTTTGTTCGAGATTTTTGTTTTTGGAGCTTTCTCCTTTCTGCACAGACGACCACTGCACTTGGATCACCAAGTCTCCACCTGCCAGAACTTCTCTTTTCTCCCTGGGTGGGGCTTTGCAGCCTGGAATGAAGGAGATCTGCGGGGAAGAAGCTTGGAAAATGGGGGAGGAGGGGAAGGAAGCAAGGGGGGGCTGGACATTCGTTAACCAGATGGGCAAGTGTGCACCCTTTGACCTAAATGGGGCTCTCAAACACCCCCCCCAATTGCTCAGAGCTTTCAAGTCGGAAAAAAATAATTAACTACAAAACATATGTAAAGATGGGGTGCTAAGCCTCTGACTTAGAGGTGGGATGGGGGGGTGCAGGGATCAGGGTGAGCTGGGCTGCTGCGGGCAGATCGAGCTCTCTGCAGAAGCAACCCTCCAGAACACAGCGATGACCCCCCCTCCTGCATCCCTTCCTCCACGTCCCACCCCCACCCCGCACCCCCGATATGGGAGGAGGTCGGGGAGCTTGCAAGACGGCCTCGCCAGGCCGGGGTCACTCACCTGGTTGGAGCCGAGGCGCGCCGGGGTGGCGGGGCCGGCGAGGAGCAAGCCCAGGACGGCCACCAGGAGCAGGGTGGGCGGCATCGGGGGGCGCATCGCGGCGGGGAGGTGCGCCCGGAGTTGGCTCTGGGCACCTGGGCCCCGGCGCCTTTAAGAACCGGCCGGGATTGTTTATGCAAAGAGGATCGTCGCGATGCAAATCGCAGGGCAGCCATTGGCCAGCGCGCTGCGCCGAGCTCCACCCCACCCGGGGCGGGGCGGGGGGGGGAGTAGGAGCGGTCTTCGCTGGATCGGTTCCCCGGATCTTCCTGCTTGCAACCCCCCTCTTCCTTCCCAGCGCGGACGTCAACAACCTCTTTCTCTCTCTGCCAGGAAAACGAAACTAGAGGAGAAGGGGAGCCGAGTGTGAGGGACCAAATGGCGCTTAGCACGAGGGAGGGGCGGGGCCGAGGGCAGGCGGGGGCGGGGCTACTAGTGCGAGAGGCGGGGCAAAGTACAGCGGTGGGGCGGGGCCTACCGATTGGGGCGGGGCCGAGCGCTGTGAGGGGCGGGGCCTGGCGCTGCGAGGAGCGTTGGGGGGGGATGGAGGGGCGGTCTAAGAGCCAGAGCGACCCGATTGGATGGAAAGGGGGCGTGGCTCTGGGTGGGGCGTGGCTTGTCCAGGGGCGGGGCGGAGTGCCAGGGAACCGCGAAGCTGGGATTTCTGAATTCTTGGGGAGCCCAGATGTAGCTTTTCAACCCCAAGCCCTTCGCAAAAACGTCATACTCTCCAGCAGTATGCGTCCCCATACCTGGGTGACGAGTCACTCTGACTTTTTTCAAGCCATCATAATAACAAGGTTTAGTTCAGCGCTGTAGGGCGTCGCTGGGAACGTTTGAGAGAATCGTGTTCTTTGCACGGAGGAAACCCATTGGCGGTGAGGTTTTGGCTTTGCCACGGTGACACACACACAGCCCGGAAGCGATGGGGGAGCTTATGTACACCCTTGCCCGAGAGCTTGGTAGGTTGCTGGGAAAAGATGTATTTATGGATACATATGTATTTATTTATACATACATATGTATATTTTATATACATATATATATATATATATATTCCCATGGAGTGGAGTTTACCACTCAATTGGCAACTCCACAGGAGTCACTGATGAAGACCCCAATGCATGACAAAATAATATTTTGTGGAGCCTGGTGCTGGTGGCTCACATCTGTAATCCTAGCTACTCAGAAGGCTGAGATCTGAGGATTATAATTTAAAGCCAGGCAAGACAGAAAAGTCCTATCTCCAATTTACTACCAAAACCCTGGAAGTGGAGCAGTGGCTCAAGTGGTAGAGTGGCTAATCTTGAAAGAAAGAAAAAAAAAAGCTAAAGGATAGTGCCCAGGCCTTGATCTCAAGTCCCAGTACCAGCAAAAAATAAAATGAAAATAAAATGTTTAAGAAGATGGAAGAAGCCAGGTGCACGTGGCCCATACCTAAAAGCTACTTAGGAGGCTGAGATCTGAGGATCAGGGTTCAAAGCCAGCCCAATCAGGAAATGCCATGAGACTCTTATTTCCAATTAACCACCAGAAAACCAGAAGCAGAGCTATGGCTCAAAGTGGTAGAATGCTAGCCTTGAATGTAAGAGCTCAGGGAAAGTGTCCAGGCCCTGAGTTCAAGCCCCATAACCGGAAAAGAAGAAGAAGGAGAAGAAGGAATAGGAGGAGGAGGAGGAAGGAGGTGGAAAAAGGAGGAGGAGGAGGAGGAAGGAAGAGGAGATAGAAGGAGGAAAGGGACACAGAGAGGCATGTTCATCATGAGGTAACTTTAAGTCTGTTGGCCTCACCTTCCTCATTTACCAAACAAGGATTTAAAATGATGATGATGATAGCAGTGGTGGTGGTGGTGGTGGTGGTGATGATGATGATGATGATGATGAACAAAGGAATCCTGTAGGGAGCTTCTTTTAAAATAAATAAATAAATAAGCATAAGCTCCCAGCCAGTGGCCAGTGGCTCGTGCCTATAAACCTAGCTACTCAGCAGGCAAAGATCAGCACATGGTAAGACCCAACCAATGCAGGGTCACTTTTCAAATCAGCTTATTGTCATAGGGACAACCAATCAGCTCACAGCCTATAGTATGAGACCCTCTAGACTCAGAGCCACGTGGGGAAGAGAAGAGAGGGAGACAAGAACACAGCCTGAGCAGCTTCTTGCGTGGGGGCTTCCTTCCTGGAGTTGTGGAGATGAGCAGCGGAGGGAGGCTCAGCAGGGCTGGCAGTAGAGCTGTGACACTGGCAGATGCTGTCTGCTGCTGAGCTCCAAGGAGAAGCAGGAATGACCTGCTATAGAGCTTCCACCCTAATGGCCTGTGCTAGCTGCAAGTGATGCCAGTACGTTGTGGGAGCTCTGCCCACCTAAGCAACATGAGAATGGTCTTTATATACCCGAGCCCCAGTAGCTCATGCCTGTAATCCTAACTCCTCAGGAGGCTGAGATCTGAGGATCGCTATTCAGAAGCCAGCCCAGGCCGAAACTCCACGAGACTCTCATCTCCAGTGAACCACACAAAAACAGAATATGGGGCTGTGACGCAAAGTGGTGGCTCAAGGTGCTAGCCTTGAGCAAAATTGCTCAGGGACAGTACCCTGGCCCTGAGTTCAAACTTCACAATCAACAAAAAATAAAGAGGAAAAAAGAATCTTTATTGTTCTTTATTGACACAATATTATTCTTAAGACAGCCTTGTTATTAGCAATGTGGAGAGTTAGGTTTATCGGGAATCGGGCCATTAAAACGTGACCTCAGAAAAACTTTTAGGTGGTTTTTCAATATGTAACTTAATCACATGCACGCATCCACTTTTCATAAGTTCTCATGCTCATATATTTAAGACCTACTTATATATTCTGCATCATTGTATTTGAGCCTTTTGATTCCTGTCTCAGCCTGTTTTTTTTCTTTTACTTGGGAACAAAGCTGTAAGACCAAGTTTAGTCTACAAATTTCCTTCCTATACATAAATATTTCTGTTTTATTTTTCTGAAAACATATCCCCAGTGCCTTCCTCTATTTTTCCTTTCCTACTTGCTAATCCTCTTTGTTTCTAACTTGTATCTTTTTTTTTGTCAGTCTTGGGGCTTGAACTCAGGGCCTGGACACTGTCCCTGAGCTTCTTTTGCTCAAGGCTAGCACTCTACCACTGGAGCCACAGCACCGCTTCCAGCTTTTTATGTGTGTGTAGTACCGAGGAATCAAACCCGGGGTTTCATACATGCTAGGCAAGCACTCTACCACTGAGCCACATTCCCAGCCCCTAACTTGTATTTTGGAATAACCCCCTTATAACTTTTTTTTTGCCTGCTAGCCCTGGAACTTGCACTCAGGGCCTGAACACTGTCCTTAAACTTCTTTTGCTCAAGGTTAACATTTTACCATTTGAGCCACAACAACACTTCTGCTTTTTGTAGTTCATTGGAAATAGGAGTTTCATGAACTTTCCTGCCCAGGCTGGCTTTGAACCCCGATCCTTAGATCTCAGTCTTTCGAGTAGTTAGGATTACAGGTGCAAGCTACCAGTGTCTACCCTCTTAGAAACTGGAATTTAGGCAAAATGGCTTCTTCTTCTAATAAAATACTCTTAGTAGCTTGCATACATTTTCAGCAAGATTTGAACTCAGGGCCTCAAGCTTGCTGGGTGAGAACTCTACTTACTGTTGAACTCTCTACTTACTCTCTTTTTGTCTGTTCGAGTTTGAGATGAAAACCTGTACAGTAACACTCCTAGCTGAGCTTCCTGCCATTGCTGGAGAAAAGGTATGAGTCATGGTACCTGGTCTTTCATGAAGACGTGGGAAGAAAGCAATCAAACTGGTCCTCTATACAAAAACAATTTACAAAAGCACCGCTGTTAACAGACTCAGATAAAAGAAGGTTCGTTGGATCCCAATCACACACGACAGAATGTGACAGCTGAAAATTAATCTGTGGAGAGAGGACAAATGGTGTCAAAGTAGATTGTTTACAGCTGCAAAAATAGAACAGTGAAACCCATTAGAATTGTTAGGGGAAGAGGGAAAATGGGGAGAGGGAAAGGGAAGGTAAGACTGGAATAAACTGTAAATGTGTGTAACAATGAAATCTCCCCACCCCACTACAAGTGAGTTCTAGCCACTTTCCCCAACATGCCAAAGGAACGCTGAAGGGCAGAGGTCATTCATGGGGCTTGAACTCTAGGCCTGGGCGCTGTCCTTCAGCTCTTCAGCTCAAGGTGAGCGCTCTACCACTTGAGCCACAGCACCACTTCCGGTTTTCTGAGTGGTTCATTGATAATAAGAGTCTCACAGACTTTCCTGCTCGGGCTGGCTTTGAACAATGATCCTCAGATTTCAGCCTCCTGAGTAGGCAGGATTACAGGTGTAAGCCACCAGCACCCAACTAGTAGATTTATTATATGGCACAGGTATGCCATGGAAAGAAGGCCTTTGGTCCATCCTCAGTCATCCTTTGGGGGTGCAGACATTTGCCTTAAACAGGGAGAATTGGGGGGGCCACAAGGGCTGAGAAGGTTTGCACAATTTGAATCATTCCCAAGTCACAAACACAGTGTTTAAGAGGTAACCTGAAAGCCAGGCTGACAGGAGGCTCACGCCTGTAATCCCAGCTAACTCAGGAGGCTGAGATCTGAAGATCACAGTTCAAAGCCAGACCAGGCAGGAAAGTCCATGAGACTTTTCTCTCCAATGAACTATCAGAAAACCAGAAGTGGTGCTGTGGCTCAAGTGGTAGAGCGCTAGCCTTGAGCTGAAGAGCTGAGGGACAGCACCCGGGCCCAGAGTTCAAGCCCCATGACTGCCAAAAAAAGTCAGTGATACCTGACAGGTGTCTGCTTTCCTGTTGGGGTGGGGGGAGAGGGGAGGAGGGGACACATACTTCTGTCTGGCTTCTAAGATGCTACAAAATATCTGCAGGAGAGAATGGCCCAAGGTACAAAATAGACAAGGCTTCAAGGCCTGGTCTTTATCCAGCTCTCTGAATTCCTGGACCCAAGTCAGGAGTAGCTTATAAATACTGCTTCTAGCTCACATCGATGTGAAGTAGACGGGCGTTATAAAATGTTATTTGCTGGGTCTGTTATAAAATGTTATTTGCTGGGTCTAAGGTCTCAGGACCAGCATGCCAATTCTGAGAAGCCTGTGCCCTGCGTCCCTATCTGTTTACAAAAATCTGTGAAGTTTCTATTTCTCCCAGGCTGCCCTGTTTTCCTCCGTGTGATGAATCAATTTCCCCCCCCTCCACTTGCAACAGTCTTGTTACACTCCCTCTCCAATTATGACTCTCCCCCCCTCCCCTCCCCGACCAATTCCCAGAGCCCAAGTGATGTGACTGCACCCTAATTTTTTAAAAAATTCCACTTGGAGCTGACCAGCAAGTCTGTACCCCAAGAAAGCCTTGAGTCCACATGGCCTCTCTTTTCTAACGCAAGGCACTCTGATGGTTCATGTCTGTCATTCTAGCTACTCAGGAGGCTGAGATCGGAGGATCACAGCTCGAGGCCAGCTTGGGCAGGAAAGTCTGTGAAACTCTCAGCTCCAATAAATTACCAAAAAAAAAAAAAAAGCCAGAAGTGGAGTTGTGGCTCAAGTGCTAGCTTTGAGCAAAAAAAAAAATTTTTTTTTAATCTCAGGTTGTTGCTGATTTCAGAGGGAATATTCACTACTAAATGTATGATGTATTAAAACAAAAAATCTCAGGGACAGCACCCAGGCCCTGAGTTCAAGACCTAAGATTGGCGCGTGTGCAGGTGCAGGTGCATGCGCATGTGCGCGCGCGCACACACACACACACACACTTATTTATTCTATTCAAGGAGAAAACCTGTAAGATGTCACAATAGTCAGGTTCAAGGGAAAACCCCAAAGAACAAGCAAACTAGGAAGCAGGTAATAAATCCAAAAGCCAACTGACCTCTTCTATCATGATAGAGAAGTTGCTAGAAAAGCAGGCGTGGAATTGA